ATAGATGCTTGATTCACAGAGGCCAGGAAGCAGAGCAGGGAAACAATGCCAGAGAGGAAGGGGTGAGGGAGCAGACACAGACCTGAGGCCGCACCTCCAGGACCACACAGGGGCGCCAGGAGTGTACCCCCACCCCCGTGGATCCCAAAGCCATTTGCATTGCTACTGGGCCTTAACTGCCCCAAATGAATGAAATATATATATATATGATGATGTTAAAAACTTAGTGGTTAATAAATATCCTTAGTCTGGGGCTTGCAGATCAACAGAGGAAAGATGTGGGGACGAGCTAAGGCAAGCCAGAACACTGCAGCTCGTCCCTTAGGTCAGTCATGGTAACTGATAGGTAAGAGCATCTGTCCTCCATTGGAGTCCAAGCCAAATACACCTTCTCCAGGAAGACAGCTTTGACTGTAAACTTTAAGGAGATATAATGCTGGGTGTGGCGGCCCACGTCTGTAACCCCAGTACTCAGGCTGAGGCAGGAGGATCACTGTAAGGATCGGGAGGCCACATAGTAAGTTCAAGATCATCTTGAACTACACAGCAAGACCCTGTGTCAAAAACAAAAACAAACAAGCAAACAAACCCAAAGAACTAAGGGCTGGAGACTTAGTTCAGCAGATGCAGCACCTGCTTGAAAAGCACAGGGTCTTGAGTTGGATTTCTAATACAAAAAAAAAAAAAAAAAAAAAAAAAATACTTGAAGTTCATAACATGTGTTATGCTGGAGAAGCCCATGTGAAGTTTTGTTTCATTTTAAAAACTTTATCATATTTTTAAAAAATTGAACAACAACCTCTAGGAAGACAGTATGCAATGTGTTAATTATTGAAACTGTCCTACCAATTTGATTTGAAACTCTCTCATTGCTATTTGCTTCTCAATAAAATTATGGAAAAAAACTGAGACATATATCATATACCATAAAATTCAGTATTTTAAAGTGTAGAACTGACTGGCTTTTCATGTATTCGGAAGGCCATGCAGCCATCACTACCATCTAATCTCAGAACGTTTTCACTCCCAAAAGAGAAACGCATGCGCATTACAGTCTCTTCCCATTTCCCTCTTCCCCTCTTCCTCGGAAACCCCTCATCTGTTTTCTTATCTGCCGATTTGCTGATTCTAGATAGCTCATATTAAATGTAATAAGATACCCAGCAGTCTCCCTGAAGGCTCTCTTTCACTTAGATAGCATTTTCAAGGTTTATCAGCATTGTATCCTATATCTGTATCTCATTCCTTTTCTTACCCTTATTTTTTATTTTGGCAAAATACACCTAAAATTTACCATTTAAAAATATACAGCCCAGGGGGCTGGGGATATCACTCAACTGCATGGGGCCTGCCTGCCAGGCATAAGGTCCTGAGTTTGATTCCCAGTACACACACACACACACACACGAATAGTCTAGTGGCATGAGGTATTCACACCACTGTTCAACCATTCCCATCATTCATCTCCAGAAGTTTTTAATCATCCCAACTGAAACTCAGTGTCCACTGAACAATCCCCCCACACACACCTAGTTCCAGATAACCTCTATTCTGCTTTCCGTCTCTATGAATTTCCCCATTCTGGGCACCTCATATGAGTGGAATTATATAGGATTTATCTTCCTGCGACTGGCTTATTTCACAGAGCATAATGTCAATCCATGTTGTAACATATGTTAGAATGTCCTTCCTTTTTATGGATGAGTAATATTCCATTATATGGATATACCACATTTTATTTATTCAGCATCCACTGATGGACACTAGGAGTATTTACATTTTTTGACTTTGGAATATGGCTGCTATAGATATTTGTGTGCATGTTTTTGTGTGACTGTATGCTTTTGATTCTCTTGGGTCACAGAAAACATTTAAGGAGGACTGAAGAGAATTTGATGATTAACAAGCATTAATCAGATATAGATAGTTTGACTACCACTCAGGGAAGGACAATGACCATGTGCCTCTCCATATAAGGGTCTGATGAGAAAGTCCTCACTTCTTTTTTTAAATATGTATTTGGTACAGGGTCTCACTATGCAGCTTGGATTCGTAGTGATCCTCCTGTTTTCAGCCTCCCCAGTGCTGGGATTACAGATGTGCGCCACCACACCCGGACTCAAGTCCTCTTCCTCTTCCTCTCCTCCTCTTCCTTTTTCTTCTCCTTCTCCTCCTCCTCCTCCTCCTC